ATTTTCTTTTTCATTTCTGACTTTTAACCTTGTAATTTTAAAATTTCAATAAAATATTATTGTAAAAGAAGCAAGCGTAGCCCCTAGTTGCAGAAAGCTTCCTTATGTCCATCCAAGAGGCCAGGTAACCATTGCTCTCTGGTCTTGGGGTAGCAGCTCCAAAATCTCTTTCCATGCTGCTAAGTCGGTATTTCCGAACAGCTTGCGGGTTTATCAGTGCCATGCTATGTAATAACTTGCCCTTGCAACTTCTTGCAGCAGAAGAGTCTTCCCACAAAGGTCAGTGTTACTGAGAGTGATACTGACGTATTTTTTCTGCTGGTTAATACTACCTGTTTCCCTGAGTTGGATTCCACAACTGAGAGAGGTAATCGTCATGTTTCATTTTCTTTTCAACTTTTGATGATCGCTGTAAGGGTAAATGGCAGTGCAAACAATAACCAAAATAAAAAAAACAACAGACAGACAGGTAAACATCAGGAGGATTAAATATAGCTGAGCTGGGTTTCCAAGTGAAAGAGAGCCGTGGGTTTACTTGCGATGCAAGCAGGCAGCTCCCAGCAACTGTTGTCTTCCAGAATTGGAGTTGGAATATAGAGAAGTTCACAACTTCCAAATTTTAACACCCCTAGATATGGAAATTTTACACAGGGGGTGCCAAGGGTTGACACAATACGATTCCTTCAAAAAGGGGGAAAATCCTTAGACAGCCTTAGAATATAACTGCAGCGTGCAGCATATTATATTTTCCTAAACGTTTGTTGATTTGAGGATTTGAGAGGTATTGAGTAGGCAATAAATAATAACAAGATTGTTATTATTTATTGCCTACTCAATTGTCTTCTTGGTTTTTGTGTCATTCCTTCAGCGATACTGATCTTTTTGTGTAAATGGTAATGCTTCAGTATCCTATATTTTTGTAAGCCATCTCTTTGTACAGAAGTGGATCCAAGTGATTAAAATAATCCAGTAAGAAATTTAAACTGCTGTCTCTCTCTTATTTTTCAGATAAAGCGACATGAACTTGAGCCTGATCTGGTCTCTTCCACTAAAGAAACATTTTTTTATTATAGGGGAGTTTAATAATGGGAGACCTTGATGATTTTCCAGGAATGCCATTCTTGTTATCATGAAGCTTGCTTTTATGCATAAAAGAGGATCTCTGGTAGTGAGGTGGAAGTTGGTCTGAATAGTTGCCAGTATTTTGAGTCAATTGTGTATGAAAACTGAAGCTAATTGGGGGAAGAATAAGCATGCTCTTATTGATAGCTCTCTGTACAGAAAGTATTGGATTTTATGATCTACCTATGTCCAACAATAAAAAGGCCATTATGCAAGAAATAGATTTCTTACCTATAAATGCAAAAACCCTTGCATTGTGATCTGCCTTCTACAGCTTTTTTTTAATGGAGGAAGTGAGAGCCTATGTGCTATAGTGAGATGTTGGATTAGGGCTGGAGATCCTCAAGCCCCTCCTCAGCCATGGAAGATCACTCTGTGGCTTTGCCCTACTCTCTTTCAGCCCAACATATTCCTTTTGGAGAAAGAAATGCTCAGTATAGTGCTTAGGACTTCTGGAGAAAAGGCAGGAAATGAATCTAAGAAATCACGTAGAACAAAGCTTCCTCTGCTCTATTATATTCTTGCCCTTCTAATGTGTAACCCTTAATTTAACTGATGATGTAGTCCTTCTTACAGTCTGTAACCTGTTTGACAGGATTGCTGTTAACCCTAACCATAACCCTGTCATTCTTGGGAGTTACCCATGCAAGGACCAACCAGGTGTAACCCTGCTTGAGGTCAGCAAATGTTAGCTAGGCGCTACTCTCTATGGCATAGAACCATAATTTCTTACAAAGAAATCTTTTTCTTGCATACCCAGAACTGCTTTTAAATTGGAACCAACTTTTAAATGCATAAATCAGCATTTTAAAAAATTGAATTGGTTAGCTCTTCTCCTGTTTGAGGGGATAGAATAGGGATTACGGTTTCTATTACAGCAGCCTTCTCCATCTTTCTGAGAGCTACCTGGTTGCCAGAATGAATGTTGTGTTTCTTATAGTTAACAGGAAAAAATAAATACAAGGATAAATTGATTTTAAATACCGATTGATGGGGGAAATATTCCGTATTTCATCCATATTAACAATTGACAAAGATATACTGTCAAGGAAAAATCAGTCATATAAAATTAAATGTATTAAGTTGGCTTTTAAAGTTTAAATCAACATATATTTCTGTACAAAAGTGAATGACACACCCCTGAAAATACGGGGTGCTCTAGTCATATTCATATACTAATTTAGATTTCTTTTACAATAGTCTCCCATTTCCTTTTTTATCTCTTGTATTACAATATGCAACTCATAAGTCAAAAACAAGATTCTCAATATTGCTAGTATACATCATTGATCATTGTTAAACAGCATTTCATAAAATATTGGTAGAAATAAGTGTGATTAATTTTAAAAAGTATATAATTATTACATGCAAAGGTATATATTTGTGAAGGCAAGAATCATAAATGGCATTTTTAAAAAGCAAAGTGCTACTGCATAGGCTCAACTGTTAACAGATTTTTTAGTTTTATTTTATTTTTTTACAAACCTCTTAGTTTTATAATTGCTACAGTTTTGAATTAACAAGCTAAACTTTCTCACAAAAACGTGTGCAGCCAAACTTCAATGGCTATTCAAGGGAAGGGCAAAGTCAAGCAAATAAAAGGCCCAGCCCTATATTCATTCTGCAGAATTCCAGATACATGCTGACATCTTGCATTCCATGAGGACAGTAGCTTCAGAAAAGCAGGAGGAGGAAGGAATTAAACCTCCTGATGCCTCAAGAGAGGGGAAAAAAATCTTACAGCTGTTTTCTCTAACAGCAGCTGCTACTGGATATATTAATGCACATATTTGCCCTATTCAGTAGGATTGTTTTTAAGTAAAACAGCTCCAAGCTCTAGTAGGATTCATCATCACAAAAAGTTGTATATATTTTTGCTCTAAAAACCCAAAGTGCATCTCTGAGAGGTGTAGTTAGCAGGCACATTGAGTATTTGGCAGTGTAGCCAATCGATGTAATCTGTCAAACATTCACAGATTGCTTGAGGGAAGTCAAATTGTGTATGCAGCTCTTGGGTTCAAAGTATCAGCTGACTTACTGTGAACATCTAACTTTCAGCCTCTCTTGCAAGTTATGGATGTACTGAGACTGCAGTAGAGGCAGTATGTTAGGAATCATGGGAGTTGCAGTCCCAACATACTTGGAGTGTGCCAAATTGAGGAAGGCTTATTTAATTTGTGTATTTTAACAGTGTTCATGGCATTAACAATTCGATTATTGATTTCCACTAAGGTGCTGATTGGGGTTGACAATTACTATTTCACCTTAATGCACAGCTCAAACCATCATGTCTTCGGGTCCTTTGTAGGAAGTACAGTTCTATACTGTAGTCAAGAACGTTTTATGACACACTGATGGATTTTCAAGCCTGTATCATTGCTTATCCTCTCCAGAAATATATATATTAAAAAAAACCCTACTCTTTCTTCCACAGAATTCTTTACATAAGCATTATAGTAAAGAAGAATTTATTAAGTACTCCACTGAGATTTATATACAACATCAGATCTTAAGCATTTGTTCAGCAGCTGCCAAATGATAAAAGAAATTTTCTGTTGCTGGTGGAAATCGCTTTTGTTTCAGTGCTTCTAAGTTAAGTGATGGCTTCTCACCATCATGAATGACCTCTGTGAATGAAGCCAGATTTGTCAAGATTTCCTTTGTCTTCAATGAAACATCCTGCAGACACATTTTTAAAACAAAGAGAGCAAACATCAAAAAAGTTGGTAAAAAGAAAAGCTCCTCTTGCACTAGCTTATGTTAATTCATTGTAAAAGTTTGATAAGCAAAACTGCTATAGAAATTATTTTCTGAGATGGAATGAGCTAGGTTTATGTGATTTCCGATATCTGCCATCTCAGATTACTGCTACTGTTCTGAATATTGTCAGTATCTGAATCTAGTGGATTCACACACACATAATGACTAGGCTTATGCATATCATTTGAAATGTGATTAGATGGTATGTTGCACAAACTCAACCACTATGATTTTTAAATTAGTTTTAGAATGCTGCATGTACCCTGCCAATTGTGGCTTATCAAAATAAACATGTTTAAACAAATCATAGCTGAGAGTGAGGTATGAATCCAGATTATCTATATATTCCTTCCTGATATTCTACACGTGCTTCCTTGAGAGCTTTCCCCTAAAATACAACATACAAATAATTAAAGTAGGCAAGGAAACAAAATACGGATTGGAAGCAGCTTTCTGACAAGGATCTTTTCCAGTGCTATTTGGAGATGCCATGGACTGAACTACTACAAATATATATGCTTATTAAAACTTTAAAACCTATTCTGCTAAGCCTTTTTTTGTTTTGCAGTGTATTTCATTGTTTTATCATGAAATGGGGTAAGATGCCTCAAGTAATGTATACAGGTAGTCCTTGGGTTATGACCATTTGTTTAGCAACTGCTCAAAGTTCCAACGGCACTGAACGAATGGTACTTATGCCAGGTGTTTGGAGTTCCGGCTGTCGCAGCATCCCCACGGTCACGTGATCATAATTTTCAATGTTTCCCACAAGCAAAGTCAATGGGGAAGCCAGCAGGAAGTTGGAAGTCATGGCCATGTGAGGTCTTTGCTTAATGACCCACACGGTCCTCACTTAACAATGGCAATCAGGACTGCCAGAATTGCCATCGCTAAGCAACACAAATGTACTTTGACTGTGTTGCTTAGTGACAGCAATTCCGGTCCCAATTGCCATTATAAGCCAAGGACTATCTGTACAGAAAGAAAATTTAGATTTTCAAATACACGTGTGTGTGTGTGTGATCAAAGAAGCTGGGAAGTCAAGGGCCATGGTAAGCAGGAAAATAATGCAAAGGGAGTGAGGCTGTATGATACACATGGCAGGACTAGGATTTGCTTTTTTCCTGGGGTTTGAGTTTTCTTTGTCTTTTTCTAAAACCAATTATAAGATTATTTAAGGTTTATGTTACATATTTTGTGCTTCTTGTCTCAAAAAAAAGGGGGACTCAAAAGTGGTCAAAGGAGATTTCAATGACTGGAAAAACAATAACTTTGAGGCCACAGATGACCCATTCCTGTCTCAAACTATTGAGTGGTAACGAGCTCTGGTCAACCTTTGACTCACGTATTTATTAAAATAAATTAAGATGGTGAATATTTCCAATTTAATTTTAGAATGACTTACAGTTTTACATTATATATGGATTCAAGAACAATGGCTTGCTTTAAATCAAATTAATTTCAGTTTCAGATTTGTTATCCAGCTTTGTTTAGACGGAATTGTTTAGCTTATCTCAAAATGAAAGCTTGGTTTCTTCTCTACCTTCCATAGAAGACATGGAGACCAAAGTTTTTCCAGAGCTTACTGTCAGTCATCTAAACCACTGTGGATCCCTGTCTTAACCACTAATAACTATTCTAAACTAGAAGCATGGTATTTTAGTTAACAAAAGTGGGTTAAAGACTGAAATAATCCAGAAGCTTAACCTTTATAACTTGACTGTTAGATTTCTCTGGATCTTCTGCAGATTGAACAATTAGTTGACCAATTTCTTTATGCAATTTTCCCATTGTCATTGCCTCTGAGGAGAAAGAGAAATACAACACCACTCATTTCCTTTGTACAAATCAATGAAAATAAATATATAGCCCCAAAACAGAACTGTAATCACATCATCAGAATTTGGGTCAAAAGACCACATTGCCATAGAAAAGGTACACATTTCCAGATCAGGATTTCTTCATACCAGCATTCAACTATCATTCCTTATTCTTTGTATAATGCTACAATTTTGCTCCTTTGTAGTTTGTTTAACAATAGAACTGAACTGATAGAACTCCCCATGCTGCTATCTTTCAGGGTCCATATTTCAGTTTCTGTACATTAGCACAATTTCTCCCAATCAGAAAAGGACACTCTGTGGTGGCATCACTTTGATCCAATTAGACAACTAAGTGAAAATCCTACTATTAGCAGAATAACTTTTAGTTTAATTCTTCCAACCCATTCCTTTTCATAATCATTTTTTGTATCCTTTCCTAAGCACCAGGAAATTAGCATTGGCACTAAGAACCTCTTAGTTCTTAGTTTCATCTTACGGTAACAGAGTTTTCTGAATATTGGAATAGAGGAATGCACTCCACCATCCTTTGATCCTTGGATTTTGACATTTTCCACACCCCACTCCAAGTTTGGAAGGTGACTGGGGGCTTGAGGGTAGGAGGAGAATTAGTACAGCAATGGACAGAGGAAGACATTATAGAACGGTACACAGGAAGGGTTTTAATCCTTTCTTCTAGCCTTTCAGCCTTATCCTGGGGTCCTGGATGCCAAATTGGCTTCAGGCTGCTAATGCCAGGTCTGTCTGTAATAAGAACATACTCCTCCATGACTTAGGTACAAGGTGGAACCCGGTGTGAATAACTAAAGCCTGGTTGGGTTAAGACATAGATGTTTCCTTATTAAGCATTTGCTCTTCCAGGCCTCAAATACCTTAGCAGTTATAACTGCAAAGTTTGGAAACTGATTTGCAATGATCCTTTCAGAGATCTTTGTGGTGACCAGATGTCTGCTGCATGACTGGATATGAGATCACATTATTTTGAGTGACACAGTAGGAATTCTGCTTGCTAAGCATTTTGTAGATAAATATTCTTTTATCTGGTTGGAATTAGACACCACTTGGACAGAGTCTCTTGAGTTGACTGGGACAACATTTTGTTAAACCACCGGTGATATGTTTATTTCTATGAAGTTTGAGGATAGGATTGGGTACTTTAAAGTATATGCTACCTGTGAGTTGGAGCCTTGCCTCTCCTATATATTTGGGCAGCCAGAGAGGAGATGAGGGTTTGGATTTGGGCATGGTAAATGCTTTTTTGAGAACATACGTGATACCAGCAGCCTTGAAAGAAATGATAGTGCATCCCGTCCTTCAGGAACCATCCTTTGATCCATCCCCACTTGACAACTTCTACCCTGACTGCAACCTCCCATTTGGGGGGAAAGCTTTGGAGAAGGTACTAGGGCAGCAATTGCAGAGACTCTTGGATAAAATGGATTATCAGGACCCCTCAAAGTCTAGTTTCAAACCTGGCATGGAAACAGCATTGATCACTCTTGTGGATAACCCACAGTGGGCCCCAGATAGAAAGAATATAACCTTCTAGATAACTCACTTGGAATGGGTTGGGGGTACTTTACTACACTGGTTCCTTTCTTTCCTGAGTAGTCAGCTCTAGTTGGTATTGATGGGGATGAGAGGCTGACTCCTTGGTGATTCTAGTATGGAATGCCTTACGGCTTAACCATTTCCCCATTCTTTTCAACATCTGAATGAAAGGAGGTGAGTTATTATATATATGATTATGACACACAGTTGTAAATCTTCAACCTGGGCCAGATGGGCCAGATCCAATTTGGTATCTGAAGACTGAACAATTGGATGGGCCAGAAGAGACTCAGGCACAGTCTCAGGATAATGAAGATGCTGTTTGTCCAGAAACAATCTGGCTCCATAGCAACTCCTGCACTGGTTCCGGATGGGGCTTAATTATCCCTGAAGAAGCAGGTCCGCAGTCTGGAGGTTTTTCTGGATTCATGGCTCCTGCTGGATTAGCAGGTGGAGGCCATGTCCAGGAGAGCTTTTGTCCAGTTTTGCATGAATTGCAGCCCTTTTCAGAGCAGGATGCCTGGCAACTCCTGCAATGAGCTCTGTGGGGAGCTGCTTTTAAAGGCTATTCAGAAACTACAGTTGGTGAAGTCTGTCATTGCCTGTTGATGAGAGAGGATATAGCAGGATTAGATCTATCCTGTGGGTACTTCATTGGCTAACTGGTTTCTGAAAACTATTCAAAGGGCTGCTGATGACTTATAAAACCCTTGAGTGTTTGTTACCTATGGGACTGTCTTCTTCAAGTTCATTCTGCCCATCTGCTGTGCATAAGCTGAGAGGGCATGGTAATGAATTGGGGTCCAAAAGCAGACCTTTTTGGTGGCAGTTCTCTTGCTCTGGAATAGTTCACCCTCCAAAGTTAGATAGCTGCCTCCTTGCTAACATTCAAAAAGGCTGTTCAAATGGTTATTTTTCATAGAGCTTTTAAGGTACAGTGTATTGGGTTACTGTCTGTTGGGCTCTGGGTTTTAATTTTAGCATTTTGGATAAATTTTAAATGATTTTGGAAGATATTTTAATCAACATTTTTCACATGTTTATAATGCAGTGAGCCACCCAGAATTGTATACCCCTCATAGAGGCTAGCGCAGTGTTTCTCAGCCTTGTCAACTTTAAGATGTGTGGACTTCAGTTCCCTGGCTAATTGAGGAATTCTAATAGTTCAAGTCCATACATCTTAAAGTTGACAAGGTTGAGAAACATTGCACTAGCACATGATTTTTAGTATAAATAAAAAAGTTGTGCTTATGCCCAACTAAAATTTGCCTTCATCAACATGCAAACAAATACATCTACATGTCTACATATGAGAAAAGTAGATGACATAACCTACAAACCTTTTGCTTGATGTGAAATGGTGATTTCACTTTCAGCCAGATTCACGTATACATCATAAAGGTCTAGCCTGTTGTTCACCTCTGAATCTATACATCCAGCAATGTATCCTGATAAGGAAAGATTTTGCTATTTCAGTTCAATAAAAGCATTCTCACTAGAAGTACTTTAATATTAATTTAAAAGCTTATAATGATTTTTGTTCTTTTCTGTAGTCTTAAACATGCATGCTAATGTTGGACATCTACCAGTATCATGGGAATCTACCTAGTAAAAAATAGATATAGAATTCTATATTTAGCATTCCACTATTCTACAAGAAACTCCAAGCAGCTACTTTTTACAACGGATAAATAGAAACTGTCCAGTACTGCAATTTCCAGACATCTGAGACCCCCAAATGGATCATAAGATTATTAATGTGCCCTTGAATGAAGACATATAATGAATAGTACCTCTTCTGGGCTTTGACCATCATCTTGTGATATTAAGCTGATGCTCAAAATCTTACAAAAATTCAAATTATATACTACTACTGTGAACACTTCTATGGATTAGGATGTTAATAACTTTTATAATATAAGCACTAGAGAGGCACAATCCTGGTCCCTTCAGTTAATGAATGTCATCTTACGGGACCCTGGAAGCCTGCCTTTTCTGTCGCAGCATCTGCCCTCTGGAACACCATACCATCCTGAGATTACATTGGCCCCAACTCTGCTGGCCTTTTGTAAAGCACTGAAGACCTGCATGTGCTCCAGGGCCTGGGGATTGGGAGGCTAGATGGCCTGGTGAGAAGTCGTTGTCAATTGTTTTGTCTGGGTTCGTTCTCAGTGACTATTGTAGGTTTTTACCCTTTGCTAATATTGTTTTAATGTTTGCATATGTTGTTAGCTGGCCATAGTCACATTTGTGAGATGGGTGGCCATATAAATCAATTTAATAAATACATAATAAACAAACTATTTTTTCTATTACCACAAAATATAATTTAGTCAATCTGTTTTGTGAGGCTGATTTTTACCCATTATCAGTAATACCTGGACACATTTTTAATGCTTCTAATTCATCATCATTCAGATGTACGTATGAATGAAGAATTGACCAATCTTGTCGGTGCCACACTAAGGCTGGTAATGTCCTAAAAGAAAGTTATATTATTTTAATACAGTAGCTCTTTTCAAGAACCTCTTCTCAAAGGATGCACTAGCTGGTCTTGTCCCCTTCATTTGGCCTATAAGAGGATCAGGATCCTAAATCATATGGGCAATCTACATAATTTCAGCCATAGAGATTAAGTCTTCCAAAAGATGAATGATATTACTGTATAATATAAGGTATGGATGGATGCATGGCTAGCAGGCATACTCTTGACCCCTTTTGAAATTGGAATTTTACAAAAACAAATACGTTAAATGTTAAGAAATGTTTTGAGGACAACTTCAACGCTGTTAAGTGTTGCTTTTACAGAATCCGTCATCTGTGTATAAACCACGACTTATTTTACAAAATGATTAAACAGGATAGTGGATAAGCAACAAGAGATTACTTTGACACTAATCGATAGAACCAGATACCATAACAGACTTTAATCTATATCAAAACAAGCCCATTTCAAACAATGGATTATCAGTTTTGTCAAATTAGGATTTGTTATAAATCATAATCTCCACTTTGTATTCAATAGCTGCATTCACGATTAATACTTAACCAATTTATAATGATGGTTTATGATTACAGTTATCAGTCAAAATCTGATTCTAGCAACACACCACGAAGCTATAGTTTGTTGCTGGCTTATACATTCATGTTTGCTTTGACTGCAGGTTATCATATCATACTTGTCTCAGAAACCAAGTGGGTAAATCATGCTATCTGGCAACCCCAAATCTACATATGGTACAAGTGAAGAGTAAATCAACAGGCCCTTTAGCAAGCCAGAAGGGAATCTTTTCTAATTAGAGGCTTTTCTGGATACTTTATAGATCAGACATTGTTTGGGAACATTCTGGGAGGATAAAGGGGATAACAGTGGGCATCCTCACCAATCTGCTTCTTTTTAAATGAGTATTTTGTGACTGGCCACACCCAACATGGCAGCCATGGTGTGCGAACATCAATGACATGATCTCTAAGTTCCAATGGCACCCATTTGTTGGGGCTTCTCTTGTTCACTGGTTCTAGGGGCTGGGTCAGATGCCTTTAAAGGCAGACCAAAGATAACCATGGCAACTAAGGCTACCTTTGGTTATTAGTTCCAAAGGCCGTATACCACAGTAAATTACAGTATGCCTCTCAAGGGTAGTTTCTGCAGAATAAACATGGGATGGCACTTTTACATTCATATCCTACTTGAGGGCTTATCCTAAGTAGCTAGCTGGACATCGTTGAAGGAGTATTGCAAACTAGATAAACTTTTGCTCTGATCTGCAATATACTGCAATTGTCACAAACAGCCAATGGGCAAAACAGAATGAATGTGTCAATGTCTTGTGTGCCAAGGAAAAGGATGCTGCACATTTACAAGTCTCTTCTCATCTGCAAAGTCATACGTACAACCCTTCACAGATTTCCTGAGCAACTGACACTAGTTTCTTCAGGCACTCTTTTATACAACGAAGGTACCCCCTTCAATGTGTTACGAAAAGTTTGACATTGTGAATCAAGTCTACTGACTACATGATTAACAGAGGCCATGAGTTAGCAGTGCAGTAAACACTATGGCTACCATGAATGTGAAGTTAAGGGAATGGTGGAATGAAAGAACCCATGTGACCTTTTGAAAACAATATAAACTTAAACCACTGTTAAGTGTTGACATGCAAAGCAGGCCACCCACACCCTCAAAGTTCAAGCACAAGGACTCAAACACATTACAGTTGAATGTTATAGATATATTAACTTGTGTTAGAAATAAAGAAGATAAGGAATTCAGGCCCATGGCCAAGAGACGTGAAAATGAAATTAAGTGAAGGAAAACTTCTTATTTCATCAATGTGTTTTACCTTGTAAATTCGAGGATAGTTTCTATTCTGGGATGATATACTACAATTCTTTTCTTTAACATGAGTGCAGTATATAGGATGACTGTTTCCATTCCAAATTGAAATACTATATCTAGAACAATCAGAAGTGAAACAGATTGTTAATACAATATAATAGCAGAATTCTGCACAATTAACGACATAACTATATGAACTACTGTAATTCACTTGAATTCACTTTTATAAGGAGACCAAATTTACTCAGCTTTTACTCACAGAACACTTTTTAGATCCATCAGGCTATAGTCTGGTAGTCACATCTATGTCATGGCTTGATTAATCACTGTCTGTTGTTAAAGTCACCATTGGCTAGATTCACCTAACATGCCAAGCCATGATTTACAAGCCACAATGACCAAACCAACCACATGACAGCTTAATGCACCATCTGAACCTGGCATTTATCCTACTTTTTAAAGAATACAAACACTTTGTATCTTTTACATCGTTTTGCAAACCAGTTGAGGAAATAAATTATTAAAAACCATTCTACCATTTCAATTCATGCCAGGGTGTTATTTTTCTCACCATCTGTAAGGGGAGGACACGAAAGGGAAACCCAAAGCAGGCCCTGGAAAACTCTTGGGATCCTCTTACATGGCCAAGATTCTCTTATGCCAACGTCAGCCCTGAGGAAAAAGCTGGTGATGCAACTAATCACAACCATCATTTCAAAAGCAGTGGTTGTTGTGCTGAGCCCCTCAGGGTCAGCTTACTTGGAAATAAATTTCATTGAAAGAAAGGGAGCTTATTTTCAAGAATGCATAGTTTCAACTAGAACTGTATTACTGATTTTTTTTAAAAAATCTCACCTTTGACTGAGCCTGCAAGGTAAGCTTTTCTGACATCAAAATCTTTGCTTAGGAAAGAACCATTTTCTTCACTCTGACAAATCCCCTTTGTAAGGACAGAAATGTAACTCTCCATCATTTTTACAGGGCTCCCATATTTCAGGTATATTCTGAAAAATAAATTGAGCTTCAATATTTACATCTCTGCCAAAAAAACCAAATCTAAACAAACTCAAGCCATTACTTTAGAGTAAGTGTCCTGAGATAAATCTGCTGTAAGATTACATGTGTTACAATTAAAGCATTTTGAGATTTACACACACATGGACTCCAAGCATCTCTCACCATTTAACATGTTGGGAGTTGGGGCCCAGCAATATCTGAAGATCACAAGGTTTTCCATCCATTCTTGGATTTCAAAATTACAAACTCAAAGGCCCAGAAATTTCCGGGAAACAAAAAAGAGAAAAATGGGCAGCAGCAGAACGATCATTGCACATTTCCTCTTATAGCGCAGCTCAGGTGAAAGTTAATCCACTCAACTTCAGAAGGGTTGCCAATACGTTTGGATAGCCAAAACACAAAGAGGCATGGCAGTGTTTCTAGACTGGCACAAACTGGGTGTGGAGAAGATGCCTTCGATAAAAGTGGATAAAGTTCAGGATTCCAGGATGTACTTGGTTGTTTAACTGTTTAAAAAACTAGAACCTTGAAATAATTCGACTGGAGCCTGATAAAAATATGTATACTTATATACAAAAATCCCTAATTATTTTCTTTCCCGTCTCCCTTGCCAGGTTTTTCTTCATTTTAGCAGTATAACTGAGCCATAACTTGTTAAAAGTATCAACAACAAATGTTGTTGCTAATGTTCAGTAACTGGGAGTCAGACATCTGTTCTACTGCAAATAATTCAGAGATCTATCAGTAGATCTCAACCTGTCACCCACCCTTCGTTAAGATTTCCTGTCCCTGAACCAAAAAGGCCATTAAAATGTTAAGGACACGTCAGATTCAACAAGAAAACAAGTAGTCAGTACAGCTGATACAATAAGAGAAATATAATCAAGGTCTTCCAAAGAAGAGTCTAGTGTCTGTATTCTGAGCCAAATAAATGCTTTTCATATGTAGTATTATCAATATTAGCAATGTAGCTATGGATGTAACAAGGGCATGAATGACTATGGTTAAATGGGTTTTTCTTCAGGTAGAGATGCAACTGGAACATGATCTGACTCATGCAGGAAAACAAATCTTATTAGATTTATTGTGACTAATGTGCTTACAACAGAACCACATTTTAGAAGAAAGGGATTCACTTCAATCTGTTCCCTTCATCCATGATGTTCTGTGAGAACTAGTAGGAGATACTATTATGTGTCATTTTTTGTTGTTTTGGTAAACCTTTTACTAACTTGAAATACATAGTAATTATATGTATAATTATAATGGTAATTAATAATCCTTTCAAAAATGTTTTCACCTATTAATTGGGAGTACATCACTATGCAAAAGGTTTTAACTTAGCTAATAAACCATGCAGGTGTTATAGAAAACGTATCAGCAATACACACCTACAGAGGATCCTAGAGAAGGCTGCATATTTCTCTGGGTTAAAGTCTTTGGTTGTCAGAACAATGGAAAAATGGGTCACCTATGCAACATATAGAAAAAAAAAGTTTATGCCCAAATACTTCATTATAAAATAATAGTGTAAACAACTGGAAATGAGAGATAATTTGGCAGATAAAGTTGCTCAGATATGCTCAAGAGTTGGACTTTGACTGGGCAGGTCCATTTGAGATGCTTGGGGCAGAGTCTTGTGGAGAAAGTTGTTAGAAAGTGGTCAGACAACAGCTGCAGACAATCTTGGAGGAAGTAAATTATCTGGACCTGTTTCAGTCAGAGTTTAGGCCTTTGCCCAGGTCCATCTAGTGCACTATTTTTACCCATTCCTAGAGTTAAAGGCCCTTCAAACAATCACTCATGCCCTAGTCCCCCTCATGAATGAACAACTGCAATACAGTCTACACGAGACTGCCCTTGAAGGCCACTTGGAAACTACAGCTGGTCCAGAATGCAACAGTACAGGCAATGATGGGTATACCATGATATGTCCATGTATGATCATTGTTCCACGAGCTGCACTGGTTGCCAATTGATTTCTGGGTACAATTCAAGGGGCTGGTTATCACTTATAAAACTTCTTGTGCCATAGGACCTGCTTAGTTGAGGGACTGCCTATCTCCAATAGTTCCTGCCCACCCAGTAAGATCAGGCAGATTGTTTAATTGATATAGGAGCATGGCCAATATCATCTATTGGGATCTAGGAAGTGTGTCTTCTCTGTTGTCACGCCGGCCTCTGCAATAGCATTCTCCTGGGGATCCATATGGCTCCCACCCTGATTGAGTTCCAGAAGTCACTGAAAACTTGGCTTTGCTTCTAGGCCTAGGGGTAGGATGGCTGCTGAGCCCGTCAGTTTTTCTTTGGGGTATTTTGGGGGTGTTGTGTGTGTTCCTTCTGGATCCTCAGGACTTTTCATGATTTTTTGTTTTTGTTTTTGAGCCACCCAGTTTCATCAGGAGCTAGGCAGCCTCTAAGTTTAAATCAATCAATCAATCAATCAGTCGAGTGCATTCTCGGCCCCTTTAAGTCTATTACATTACTGAAAATCTAATGTTCTTCACCACAGTCCAGTACATCTTGAATTTTGTTCAAACATCCAGTTTAACTGTCAGTTGACGCAAATGGAATAGTAAGTTATTTTTTTCTCTCCCACCAATGTTTAACATAGCTTTTGTTATCATATGTATGGTACATATATTATACAGCGTATTTATATGGTCTCTGTTATCTTATGAAATCAGCAGACATATAAATAAGCCTTCTTTCAGAAATCCGATTCATCTCTTATTAGGATAAAGAATGTGCAAGATGAGATCTTTCTATCAAAGATCCAAATTTCAATCTTACCTTTTTCAAGACAGAAGCCTCTGGAATTTCCATGGTTGTAATATAAAACCATGTTAGTTTGTACTGGCCAAATAGGAATGTGTGAAGCTGTTTGCTCTCATCTGTAAGGCAGCATTTTCTCAATAAGAGGTCCCTGAATCCAGTCGTTGTAGAAGGGTAACACCAAACCCACAGAGCATCTCCATTGGTATCTTTTTCTATGGTGGAAAGATGTTCACTGTGAGAATGCCAACAGCAGCAAGGGAGTAAATTGATCAGTTAATCAGATCCAGTTATGCAGTCAACTTAACACCCACTTTTTACACACTTCAAAAATACTAGGCTCTGACACTTTTGGGGAAGAAATGGGAAACTGAAGGCGGCTCTGCTGAGAGTGGAGCCGTCGACTACAGCAGAATGAAGAGCTGGAGTAAAAAGCTGACTCTTTGCAATTCCTTTCTGGACTCAGGAGAGGACTGGGATCGCTCACAAGGGCTCCAGACGGCTGCTCCTCGTACGGAGACCACATAAGAGCAGTCTCTGGCGTGTTTAGAGCACTGGGAGACAAGGGAATGCCATTGTAGCCCAAGCTGCAGTTCAGCACCTTTAAAAATGACACAGGTTCGCATATTTCCCTTCTTATAGGCTCTGCTTGCATATATTATATAAGCCTTAATAGTTAGGGAAATTAACTCATATTTATGGCAGTACAATATATACACATATTCTAATCTGCAATGAGATATTAATCTGGGACAATATTATTAAAAAAAATCTCTCTGGCCTGCAGCCAGAGCAGCAAATTCTATATTTTAGCTAAAAGCACATTTCATTTAAAACTATCATAAACTGTATTTCCTTATATAGACCTCCCTCCCTTTCTTCTGCTGCTTCCCTTGTATTAAACTTTACATTGTACTCTTCTTGTAGCAAGAACCTGCTCTAGTAGAATTTGTAAAACACCACATACACTGAATGTGCCAAATAATAACAACTATTTGTTTCTTTTTAAGTCCTCCCGCTATGGGTCTCTCTGCCAAGTGAAGTGAGGTGGGTGGTAGCAAAGAAGGTTTTCTAAGTTGTGGGGGTCCTGATTCAGAAATGCTTCCACATTAAGGAAGACTTGGTAACTTTGCACTGCTGACAAGCTTGGACATCTGTCCTGAGCATTTTTTTCGCTATTTACAACCAGCATTATATTGGTAAAGTGACATTTATTTATATCTTTCCTGTGCTATTTATTAATTGCATTCTATTACTTTTCCACTCTCCATTCAGAAAAGGGTTGCAGTTTTAGATGACTGCATAGGGGCTTTTTCTAAATTAGAGGCTATCTAAGGCCTTTCTGTAAATTAGTGGGAGATGGGAGGTGGCGGCTATGTTCACCCAACATTCAGAGTGACTATTAAACATACTACAATAAACTACAGCTAGATTCACAGAACACACTAAAGCAGAGTTTCTCAACCTCAGCCACTTGAAGATGTGTGGACTTCAACTCCCAGAATTCCCCAGCC